GCATCTTCATTGCTTGATATTTGGGGGACCTCTTCTTCTTTTTCAGAGTAAGAAGTATCCCAATGGGGTTCTTCGTCCCAGATAGACTCATTTTCAAGGATGACGAATATAAGCTCATCCCCTTGTTCCGGGGATGTTGAGGTTTCCCTTTTTGTGGATGATAGGGGTAGGGATGGTTTAGCTGAATAATCTGTGAAATAAAGACGGAGAGTGCCGTCAATCCTTTGGGATGTATGGAGTTTTTGTGGAACTTGAATTGTTTGTTGGGAGGAAGGTTTAAGGTTCCAGGTAAGGCCTTGAAGTTGATTGATGGTATGTCGATTTCCGGGAATTGTTGTAATACAATGAGATGCCAGGTAATCTGCGATTCCTGATACGTTGTATCGGAATCCAGTATGACTCACGTTCGTTAGCCTTAAGACTAAGGCTCTTGTGATTAATAGGTTTGATTCCCCTCCTTGCCATTCTTCGTAGCCATGAGTAAGGAAGACCAATTCTATATGGTTCATGAAATAGTGGATTGACATCATCATGTTTGGTGTAATGTACACCAACTGAGTTCCAGCCGATAAGTCCACCTCCATTGTTCCGATTATTGAAACATCGGACCTCCACCGTATATCTCGCAGGACAATAAGGGTTGTTGTCCCTGCGTCTCTCCTGTGTAAGGCATGAACCCTTACTATTATAAGAACCAAGTGTATGTGCTCGAGTCCTTCCTGCAACAGTTGTTGGTACGACTGTTGTTGAATAAAAGGAAGGTTAACCTGCTCCCCATCTGTAGCAAGTATCCTTTCTTCTGAGTAGTGCTTGTATACTTTGTGTTTAGTATTAGACCAGCCGTCTTCATAGAAAGTCTCAGCAGACACTAGATTAGCTCTCCTTGGCTGAGACTTGCACCAAAGATGGGGAGAGCGTAGAGGAGATGAGAGAGTTAAGAGAACGGATTACATATATCATCACTGACAGTTGAATGGAGTGCTTGAATTTTTTTTTGTTACTTTATTTGCAAAGTGTTGTGAAAACATTTATGATTTATTGTAATGATAGTTAATTCAATTATGTACATTTTGAATCTCAATGGGAGGAAACTTTTATTTCCAATTCTTTTGCACGTGTTTTTTCCACTTGGATGGTCTATGAGGCAACCATTGATATAATATCTAATATAATTTTTTATAGCATGTTTTATTTTTTTTTAATTTTGGAGGTCTATGATGAGATATTTAACCTTATGGGTTATTGATAAGCAATTAGGCAACCAAATTTCTCTCCTCTTTTCAGTCCTATAACTTTTGAGGTTCTTCGGGAGGTATTGCGGAGTGATAGTTTCGTTGATTTATACTATGTTCTCTGAGATCTCACAATTTCATAAAACTTGAATTGAGTAGTTATATTATTCTTAATTACTAATGTTGCATCTAAGGGCTATGCTTTGTGGTTTTAAAGTTTTGGAAAAAAATTAACTCGAGGACTTTCGGTACCTCCAGAGCATTGTACTGCTACTGTGGATCGTTGCAATTGTTGTCTCCCTATTAAAGTAGGCTATGAATTTTGGTCACCAGTTTGATAGGTGCTTGAATGATGGTGGGGAAGTCTATGAGTTGCAGCTACATACTAGATTGATGTGGTCCGGGTAAAGGCTTTTCTAACCACCTAAGTGGGTACTGAGAACCACCTCTAAGGGTTTTAAGAGGTTACATGTAGGAAATATAATGGATGACAAAAAAGTGTTGCTAATCCTTGTCTAGACAACCTTATAGGACAATTACTAGAGGATCATTTGGTGGAGACCCCAATGAGGACTAAAGAATTGCTAGAACACATGAGGGAAAAGCAATAATTCACTAAGAAAATTTACTTTTTATGAAGCTAGGCTTGTAAGGATCCAAAACTCATGGGGACTTTCTTTAGTCAGCAAGATCACGATATTGATAGCAAGCATCAATGACTGCCAGAGTTAGCAGAACAAAGAGTCTAAGAAATAACGGATAGGAGTCAAGAAACTTGGCACTCAACTACTCCAATCTTTTGGAATGCTAATTAGTCAATGCAAAATTGTGAATGCAAGAAAATCTGATCCAATGCAATTCGAAATGGAGATTGAGGGTCCGTTTGGGGCAGCTTATAAGTGCGGGCGGCGTTTTCAAAACGCCGCCATACCGTTTGGTTCGCGCTTTTCGCCAGCTTATCCAAAACTGCGTTTGGGTTTTTACACTAAACGCAGGCCACCGGCCCGCCCCCCCCGCCCCCCCCCCCGCCGGCCCCGC